CTCTCTCTCTCTCTCTCTCTCTCGGTGGCCTGCTCCTCTTAGTTCTGCCAAGCTACAAGTCGCCCTTGACATCACCCCTCCCTAACTCTCTATCATATCAACTCAGCAAATATTTATTGGACATCTATTACCTTCACTGTACTATATCAACAGGTTACTAATTTCCTGAAACAATCTCAGATTTACCCCTTCTTTTCCCATCTCTATAATCCATCTTCTCCTTCATCCACATCTAGATTTTCTTTTCTTTTCTTTTGCACTGGGGGTTGAACCCAGGAGCTTTCTATTACTGAGCCATGATCCCGACCCTTTTTATTTTTTGAGACAAGGACTCACTAAATTGCTGAGGCTGACCTGAAAATTGCAATCCTCTTGCCTCAGCCTCCTGAGTCACTAGGATTATAGGCATGTACCACCACACCCAGCCACATCTGGCTTCTTGTGTTTGTTTACCTTCTAGCTGGATTCTCTACCTGTAGTCCCCTCCCATATTCTATGGCAGAATAGTCTTCATTCTTCAAAACCTTCTCTTATTGTATTACACCCTGCCTAACTCTTATGACAATCTATAATCTGTGCCCACTCCAAACCCACCTCTACATCCCACAATTTTCTTATAGCATTTACTTCCAGTGACAGTAGTTGCCTCATGATGTCCTCACAGCCCCATACTCCAAGTGACTCCCTACTTGGAATGCCTTTGCTTATGCTGCACCTCCAGCTAGGCATACCCTCCTTTCCTTTCTTATTTATCTTTCAAGACTTTGGGTAAGCCCCACTTGTTCCACTGCTGCCCATCCATGCTTTTCTTACAGCCACAGTATCACATCTAGCATGCAGTTTACATGCAGCACTTGTGTACAGCCAGTCCCAAATAGCTCCAGCTGAGGAGCCAATCCTGACCAGATAAACAGAAATCTTCCCCAAAACAAATGCTGAGATGTCTTCAGAGTCACTGTGCTCAATGCTAAGCAGGGTTTTATATTCATTCCCCTTGCTGTGGGATCAGGCGTTTCAGCACCAATACACATCAGGAGGGAGACTCTTTTTTTCCCAGATGCATACACTCTGTCCTTATCTGTCTCACCCCCCTCACCATGGCAGCTGCAATTTCTTCTGGGCTGTCCCCATCCAGATCAAATCGGAAAGTCACCATCTTGCTGTTGTGAGTCTGTAGCTGGCACTCGACCACTCTGTCATTCTGGTCTGAGACCTTCAGAGTCAAAGTCAGGAGAGGGGATGTGGTCAGTGCCTCTGTCTTCATCATGTGTTCCTACTCTACTCCAGCCAAGTGACAGTGCCAGACTGGACTTGGAGAGAAGTAGACTCTACCCCCAAAGTCTAGTATTAGAAACTAGACTAGTTGCTTCATGGCTAGTCATTTACATTATTCTGCTTTCTTGGCTGACCTTCCCCATCCACGGAAACTGCCCTCCTAGCCCTGTAGGTCATTCTCCATGTTCTTTCTTACACTAGTGACCCTTAGCCGGGATCGGGGTCTACGCCGGAGATTCTTCCCTGGAGGTCTCCTCATCTGTCCCATCCCTTCTCCTATGTCGCTGAGGCCTGATGCTGCATCTGAGGCATAGCTGGAAAAGGGAAGGGAGATGGAAGAGTCTGTGTAGACAATGGGAACCCAGAGTTCCAAATATCTCATCCTGGCACCCCAACTCATTCCAAAACATACCTGTCCCCAGGAGAAAACTCACTGCCAGGGCCAGAACGTGGAATGGACAAGGCAAAAGCCTGAAATAGGATAAGGGTTCATGAGGTCAGGGGAAGATAACTATTGAGATCCAGAGAGACCACAGCAAGGATGTTGGGAGGATAGTAGGGATAGGGAATTGGGGAAGGTAAGGACAAAAGTAGTGAATTTCCAGGACATGGGGACAGGTTAGGGAGTTGGGCTTTCAAGGAGAGAGATAGGTCATAGGCTTGGAATGGCTGGGAGCCCCCATGTAATCCCTTCTCACCGAGGGTAGGCAGAGATGGGACTCATCGGGGCTGGATGGCACCCCCCCAGGGGGCTGAAGGGCAGGGTCTGAGGCATCCAGGAAGCCAGAGGAGCTGAGGTAGCCATCAGTCTCACAATCCGCTAGTGAGGGAGGGAGGGAGGGAATCAAAAAAATAAAGGGAAGTGGTGGCAGAGAAGAGGCCCTGTCTGAGCACAGGGGTCTAGTGTAAAGAGGGAGCTGTGGAGAGTTCTTTCCCAGAGGGAGCTTCATGGCTGGGGTGGAAGGCAGGATGAGTGACAGTGCTTCTGGGTTGGACTTGTAGGTGGGGTGCAGAGAGCCAGAGTTGACCTAGGTCCACCATCAGACATGACTTACAAGTGGTAGATGAGTAGCTGGCATGGCGGAAGAGGAAAGACTGGTGCTGGTCTGCCTCTGGCTCCTCAGGTTCTAGGGGGAAGGCAACTGAGGGACCAGGAGCCATGGGAACAGTTGCTGGCAGAGGTCCTGGCTCAGGTGGGAGAGCTTCCAACTCCCTAGCTTTTCGAAGCTTCTCACGCTTTCGCTGGATGGCAGCAACCCGTTCACGTACCGCACGGGCCACTGGCTGGTAATCAGCTTCACAAACCAACCCCAGGGCTACCTGGAATTGGAAGAATGAGGAAGACAGTGTGGGATCCCCCTCGAAGATCCAGCGGGACATCTTGAGGATAAGGGAGGAAGAGAACCATTTATTGATTAGTCACTCTATCCATTAATTGGCAACTCCTTAACACTGTCATCATTAAGTCCTTCCAATAACGTTGTGAGATAGGTCTTATCAGCCCATTTTAGAGAAAAAAAATTGAGTGACCAGTTCATGTAAGTCAGTGGCTCTTAAAGGGGGAGAGCTTGACAAAATCTAGAGTCTTTTTTTTTTTTTTTTGTACTGAGGATTGAACCCAGGGGCACTTTGCCACTGAGCCACACCCCCAGCCCTTTTTACTTTTCATTTTGAGATCGGGTCTTGCTAAATTGCTGAGGCTGGCCTCAAACTTATGATCTCCCAGCCTTAACCTATCCAATCATTGGGATTATAGGCATGTGCCACAATGCCCAGCTGCAAAACATTTTTAATCATCACAACTACAGTGTAGATGCTACTTCACTTAGTAAGTAGAAGCCAGGGATTCTTTCAACATCCTACAATGCACAGAACAACACAAAATGTCAGTAGTGCCAAAGTCAAGAATCCCTTGTACATACTCAAGTAGGGTTTGATGTCAGATCATATTGGGCTGTGCTGTGAAGAGCTGCTGTTATGCTACATTCAAACTGTCTCAGGTTCTTCACCCACCTTCAATGATCCTCACCTTAGCAACTGCCATTTCTCTATTGAAGATCCCATCCTCTCTCCCTTTCCCCTACTCAAGCCTTCCTAAATCTCTCCCCATGTTTCTGCCCTGGCATCTTCAACCTCCATTTATTCACACACACCCTCTTCCACCAGCATCTATTCATCCCTCTTCTTTCCTCATTAATTTCAACTGTTAAATTTATTGGGTGAGTAGCGGTAGTAAATACAGGTGATCTGACTGCAAATTTAAACTACCTGAGTTTAAATCCAGATTTGCCACTTACTTGGCATCTTGGACAAGATATTCAACCTCTTTGAACTTCCGTTTCCTCATCAATAAGTTAGGATAAAATTACTCTTCCTGTAGGATTGGTAGCAATGATCAAATGCATTTTAAAGTACTTTAAACCATATAGGAATGTAGGCTACCACATGCCAATGCCAAACACTGTCATGGATAGGGGCGCGGGGGGGGGGGGGGTGACAGTCTCTGTCCTCAAGGAGTTGATAATCTAATGGAGGAGAAAGACCAGAATGTATGCATACAACTAGACCCACAGCTTGAGGGCTACTCAAGGATGCACTGGCATGAAAAGAAGCTTTTAATTTTGATTCTAGAGGGGAAGCCTTAGTGAAACCGAGGGTTCTGCGTATACAGAAAGGAGGAGGGGGGGGGAAGAAGAAGAAAAGCATAGGGGAGGGGAAAGGTGGAAAGGAAAAATAGGTAAACGGCATTCCAAGATAAACACATCTGCAGGAGCTAAAGCAGGGGAATTCGAGAATCCAGGCTTTTTCTGGAAAGAAACACTGAATGTGTTTGCAGGTGCATTAGGACAGGAGAGGCAGGGAGACACCTGTAGGAGATGCCACAAAAGTGGGGAGAGACCACCTCCTTCCGCTTCAGGGTCCTCTGGTCAATGCCAACCCGCCCTTTACACGCTCAGCCACAGCACAGTCTGACCTCCGCTCACCATCTCCTGTGCCACCTCCTCTGCCGCGTCCCGGCCCAACTGGAAAAGGAACTCAATGGCCTGGTTGTCCCGCGGGCGCCCCCCGTGTCGCGCGCCCTCCATACGCAACCAGAGCTTGAGCCCGGGTTTCTCGCCGTCGTCCTCCTCCGCCAGCTCCACGTGCACACCGCGCTCCTCACGGAAGAAGGCGTGGGCCAGGAGATCCTGGATGGTGAACCTGTGAGTGGTTCCGCGGTGAGCTGAGCCCCACAGTGTTTGCACCTCTTCCCCACCCAGCTCTTCCCGGTACCCCACCTCTCATTCTTATCGGTACGAATGCAGCCTTCAATGATCTCCTTCACCTCGGGCATCTTCACTTTGTAGAAGCTGTTCGGTTTTGTACCCTAGGAGAAGGGGTTGCTTGACGTCTCCGGTCCTCCACACCTCAGCTTTCTGCTAGACACCCCCCAACACACACCCCGGCTCTAGTGCGGGCAGCAGTGCAGGCATTCACCAAAGCTTGGCGACTACTACTAGAAGATTTTAATTCCAATCCTAGTCCTTAGGGCTGGGGGTGTAGCTCAGCAAAGCAAGCACTAGACCCTGGGTTCAATCTCTAGCACCAGGAAAAAAAAAAAATTAAAAGTTCCTCCATTATTAACAGTGTGACCTTGAACAAGACTGACTGTTTTATTTGTAACATGCAAGATAGAACATTTGCCTCCCTCAACTTGCGGAGCAGCTAGAAAGACTGGATGAGAGAATGGATATGAAATCCTTTGTAAAATTCTGGGAACCCTAGATATATTATTAATATTATCAGCTTGCGGGGATTGGGGGAGGCATTGTACATCCAATATTCTTAAGTGTTCTCTAAGGTATCTTTTTCTTTGTGAAGGGAAAGGGCATTGATCACCGGCTAGCTGGGGCAGGAAAATGAGAGGGGCATCTGGAATCCCTCCTCCCCTAGCCACACCTCTCTCACCGAAGTGACCTTGCGGTAGATTTGCGCAGCATTTTGGCACTCTGAATAGGGATACTCTGAGGTAGCCATCTCCAGCATGCACATGCCAAACGCGTACACATCCACTGCCTCATCGTACTTTTCCTCGTACATCTCGGGGGCCATGAATTCCGGGGTCCCTGTAAGATCCACAACAAGGATCAGGCTGCCAAATCTTCCTTCTGACCTCATCCCTCCACACGGGCATATCATGGGCTAGGAAGTGCAGGGGCAAACCCAGGAGTTCTTAAATGCAAGTGACCAACCCTTGCCTATAATGTGTGTGGGAGGGATGCCATAGATCTCCCCAATTCCTAATTCGTGTATCTCTAAAGCTCTGCTGGGAAGGGAGGATCCCATTTCTCTTCTGAGGTGGGGGAGATATTAATGGCAAGGACCCGCCTGGAAGGACGCACCAATGACGCTTTTGGCGAAGGAGGCGCGCTTGAGCGTGGCCAGGCCCAGGTCCCCGATTTTGACGGAGCCTGTAGGGCCTGTGATGAAGACGTTGTCACACTTGAGATCCCGGTGCAGTATAGGGGGGACCCGGGAATGTAGAAAATGAAGTCCCCGGAGAATTTGGCGGCTCCAGCGCTGAAGGACTCTTGGTTTCATTTCGCGGAACCTTCTCAGGTACCTGGGAAAGGGTGCATAACCAGGGCAGTGGTGCAGGAAAAGTAAGCAGGGGAAGGGCTCCCACTGAGAAGTTCCCCTTCATCCCACCCTTGCCTCTGCACCTTCTACCAGCCTTTTTCTAGCTTAGCTCCACACTAGGTCCCTGGGAGAAACTTAAGTTGGGTGTGGTAGATAGCCATGAGATTACAAAATGGGTCTGATGATAAATAGATAGGGCCACAGCCAAAGTGTTTGTGGGAAGGGATGACTAACTGTCCCAAGCATGGGGGAAAGCTTCACAGAGGAAAAACTTGTATCTTGCAGGAGAGGAAGTTCAAGTGTGAAAAGGGTAAGGGATGGAGACTTTCCAGGCAGAGAGGACACTACCCTCAAAGGAAGGGACAAAGCAAGTGACAGGAGAGGGTGGGAGGAGTTCCTGAGAATTCTGGAAGTCTGGATCTTTGGCCGAAAGCAGAGGAGGCTGAATCCTAAAAATTTTGGAAATGGGTTAACCAGTATGGACATTACCCCCAGGGACATGAGAAACCTAGGAAAGATCCTCCAGGTTGCAGGAAGTTAGGAAAGCTCCGAGGGAGGGCAGAGCCAAGTGAGGCCCTTTAGGATACTGCTGCAGGGAAGGATGGGGTGGGAAAAGCCCAGTGTGGAGATACTGAAGAGGAACTTGGAGACTGTACTGATAAAGGTGAGGGTGTAGCAGAGAAGAGAGATGTCTGGAAAGACACCTAAGATTTTGACTGAAGTCCAGGGTGGACATTGCTATTCATCCAGGCAGGAACATAGGTAGGTTGGATGGGAGACGGTGAGCCTGGTTTTGGACCTGGATGTAAAAAATTTGTGCAACCTGGGAAAGTTCAGGAAGCAGTGGGGAGACAGTGAGGAGATGTTCCACCCTTTCCCTCCCACCCCGGCCAGAGCTCACGTCTTGAGTGTGCCCGAGGTCATGAGTTCTGTGACCAGCACGATGCAAACCTGGCCCCTCAGCACCGACTTCCAGGAGTCATAAAAGCGGACGATGTTGGGGTGCTGCAGCCCCTTGAGCATCTCCACCTCTTCGGAGAAGCGCTGCCGCTCAGCCCGAGACAGTTTCCGAGTCTGTGGAATGGCGAATGGGATCCCATTAGGCCCAGAGAAGGATGGGGCACCTAGAGTGGAGCAGGGGGAAAGGGTGATGGAATCCATGGATGGGGTGGGGATGATGGGATAGTTAGCCCAACGGACTGTAGACCCAAACTCCTTGTCAGTCCCTTAGGTTTGCTCCAAGAACACACCCATCCTAGGCCTGGGGCCGCCCCTTGGACCCCCTGCTGGACACAAGCGCCTTTATGCAGCCCGGTCCAGGAGCCCTGAGCTCAATAGCGCCTTTGTGGCCGCCCTGGCCTGTCGTGGGGCGGGAGGGGTGCCTCGGGGGCTGGCAGCAGGCGGACCTCAGGCAGGGAATTGGGGCCGGCAAGGGTTTGGCCCCAGATACTGGGAACTGCTAGATTCAGACAGAAGGCGGAGGTTGCAGAGGGACGTATAGAGAACGAAAAACTCTAAGACCAGGCGCCAGGAGCCCTTCCCCACCACCACCATGGCTGCCACGCCCCCCTCTCCTCTCCCTCCCGTACCGGGTTTGGCCTCCTCTGTTGGCCTGGCCTAGAGCCTGGGGCGCGGCACTGGCAGGCGCAAGAGGTGAACCCAGTGCCAGGGCCAAAGTGAAGGGAACCTTCCCCCAGGCTCTGTCCCCCAATCTGAATCTGAAGCTTCTGACCAGAGTCAACTGGGTTCTCCCCATGCAAATGCAGAAGAGTAGCAATAGGAAGAAAGTTCTGCCAACCAACATCTTCCTGAAGTCCAAGAGCTTAGAGCCTTTGGGTCTGGTAAGAAAGAACCCAGGTAGGCAGAGGGATGAGAAGCAGGACTGAAACTCAGGCCAAGGCTGGAGCTTCCTGTCCACAGGCCTTCCCCACTACTCCAGAAGCAGCCTGGGAAAGAATCATTCTGTGGAAACTGCCCTAAATCCTTCTGGAGATGGAGAGGAGAAGACCCTGACCCAGCTCCTGATCTCTAGCATCCCAGTCTTTTGTTCAGCAGAGGAGAAGGGGGAGCAAAAGGCTCAGGGTCACAACGGAAAGTCTCAGGACTTACAGAGAAACGATGGGGAAAGATTGTGGGTATTCAGGGAAGGAAATTGGTAGGGTGTCCCCACCCAGATCTGAACTGGCTCCCCCATCCTATTTCCCATCCTAATTTCCAACTGTCAGGGATTTGCAGAGAGATTTTAAAATGAGAATGTCCATGCCCCTTGGGGAGCTACTATATACTATCTTCCTGTTTCTCCTGAGTCCAGCCAGTCAGCCAGATATCTCAGTAAGGGCAGGGATTTCTGGGCATTCAGCAGGAAAAATACATCCTTTCCTTGATTCCATCTGCCCAGTCTCCCATCCTAATACCTCCAAAAGGTCCCATCCCGAGGTGCCACAGAGGGGGCACCCAGCCGCACCTGCAGCTCACACCAGGCCACCTCCACCGTGGTGTCAGTGTCTAGCCCTCGATACACTGTCTTGAAGGAGCCACGTCCAATCTCAATGTCAAACTTGAGGTATCGGCCGTCTGGGGATGTTGCCACAGCCTGGGTCTCTGTGTCCTCCTTTTCTTCTTGCTCCCGCTGTCGCTCCCGGGCTGCGGCATCTGAGACTCTCGGCGGCTCCCCAGACCGTGAGCCTCCTGCAGATCCCGTAAACTCGGGATGCACTGAATTCACAGTCTTCACAGGGGCTGCTCGGGTCCGCGTGCCCTCGGGGAGCTCTTTGAAGCAAGGTGGTGGGCTACTCGAGAGACCCGGAGGAGCAAAGTCAGGAGGGTCAGGAGGTTCCGGAACGGGTGTCGCTGGCTGGCACCAAGAGCTCAGCAGACCCAAGTCGACTGAGCTGCGGCGGGTGACACGGGAAGAGCGAGGCCGGGGCTCAGCCTTCCCAGAGAAGCGGCGTGCTCTGCGAGGAGGGGGCCCGATGCGGGGTGGCCCCGTAGTGGAGAGAGACGGCGCGGGCAGCAGAGCTAGGTCAGCCTCGGTCTGGGACATGGGGACCGCGTTGTCCGTGGTCCGGGGTGCCAGCATGGGGAAGGACCGGGCGCCGCTGACCAAGCCAGATGACGGAGGAGGAGGCAGCTTGACAGGCTGACTAGCTGGGTGCGCAGCTATCCGGCTGAACTGTAGGGGCCCCAAGCCCGGGTTGCCTACTCGCGGCCCCGCCCCCGGCCCCGCCTTGCGCCCGCCCCTGGCCTTACCCCCCAGGGCGGTCCACTCCCAGCAGTGATCCGCACGGCGGTTCAGAGCCCGCGGTGCATCCCTCCTAGCCTCAGCAGCTGCCAGTGCACCCCCTCTGCGTGCGGTCTCTGAGCACTAGCCTTCTACCTCAATTCCTGGCAAGGGTGGAGTGTAAGGCGGCAGAGTGTTCTCCCGCACTGCGTGTGCAAACCTGTTTTTTTTTTGGGGGGGGGATGGGGGGTGTGGAAGTGGGCGGGGATTGGACGACACTGGAGCAAACAGAGAAAGGCTCCGGGCCGGGCCGGACCCGTAGTGTGTGGGGGGTGGTTTGGGGAGGCCACTACCCGCCTGCACACCACAGATAAGGAAACACTGCTCGGTTCTAATCATCTGGAGTAGCCCCAGGCCGAACATAGAGGTCAGTGGAAAAGTATGGTTCTCCAACTCTGTTGTCCTTCTGGTATGCACAAGGATGGGTGTGAGCACCCAAGACAAGGCCCTCCTCTAAACCAAGGGCTTGATCACTCATCCACTCTACCCCACCTTGGCCGCAGCCTGGTCCTGGCCAGAGTGGCTGTTTTTGCTGTGGGCTCCTTCCTCCTCCTTCTGTTTGCCAAAGTCTCCAATAAACCGAAGTCCACATCCGGTTTACCCCCCCTCAGCTCCTCTTGGCCATAACCACCCCACCCAGACCAGATGAGTGGAGGGACGGGTTTTAGAGTAGTTCAGGATTTTCATGCGGGAGATGGTGAGGGAAGAGGGAGCCATTATGCCACTCCATTTCAGAGATCAAGCAGTTTTTCCTCAAGCTGTGTTCCATCAGCAATCCACACAGCCCACACAACAGATGCAAAATCATAAGCTCATTGGAGCCTCCTGGGCCCAGTCCACAGGCCTTCTTTTTTCCCCTGGGCTGAAACTCAGGCGTAACACCTTACAGCCCTCTCCAACCTCATTTCAACAGTGACTTAACATGCAGGCAGTAAGATTTAAGATTTTAATATCATAAATCAGGGTCAGACCTGCCTCTCATGGCCAGGTCCCTTCTGGAGCCTCCTATCTTCATATTGCCTGGAAGGCTGCCTGCAGCCAGGGCTTCTCATTCCCTAGGAAGGACCAAGCATCAGCCTGAGAAAGGAGGCAACAGCAGCAAATGGTGGGAAGGTGGAGACAGAAACTTGTGCAGGTGCATATGTATATGTACTTACTTGTGTGGACACATGTAAAGTGTCAGTTTACAGACCCTGGCTCAGGGACAGTCTAGGATGGGAGAGGAGGTAGGGCACAAAGAAGCATATCTTTTCTCCTTGGCACCTTGGACTCACCCATCCCAGGGACAGACATATGGGGTAACAGGATACTCATCCCTGGGGCTCAGCCTTCAGGACTAGAGCCCTTTTAAATCTAGTGGAGTCACAGATCCAGTCTGTGGGGATACTAAGTCTGTCTTTTTTTGAAAGCCCTAGAAGGGTGGGAGGTAAGAAGTAAAGAGAGACAAGTCTCTTCTAGAAGAACTTGACACCACGGCCATCGCTGACGGTGATGATCTCAGCCTTGTGCTCCTGCTGTAGAGCCTGCAGAGCCCGAAGTAGGGTTGCCTCATCCAGACCATGGAACTCTGGACAGGAAGAGATGGGCAATTAGGGAGGTTCAGTTCCTAGGTGCACTGAGGAGAACAGCCAAACTGGAAACTGAGACATTCCAGAGCCAGGGTATGCACATGCCATCTACACTGCTGCATACGCCACCCACATTTACTGGGCACTCCTTAAGAGTCAGGGTGGCAGGCCATTTCTTAAGGACACTACCTGATAAATCACCTCCCATTCCCCTAATCTTACCCCTGTTGCAAAATTCAGAGATTATATCTATCTGCCAGTCTTCCCTATTATGTAGTTCTGAATGTTGTGGGCATTACTAACATTTTTATTTATAACAACTTCATTAAGATATCACTGACATAAAAATTGTATAAGTTGTACAACTTGACATTTTTATATACATGTGCATTGTGAAATGATTGTTGCAATCAAGCAAATTAATATACTCATTATCACTATATTAAAAAAAAAAAAAGTAAGGGCAGAAGAAAGCTTAAGTCAGCAAAAAGTGAGTTCAGGCTTATTTCCCCCTCCCTGGTTCTCCTGTAACCTCACCCCCCACAGCCCTCCTGTCCCTTGCTCCTATTAGATGGCACATGAATGATACCATCTGCTTTTGGGGCACAAAGAAGGGGCCCTTCCAATCAGCCCTCTGGAAGTCAGGGCCCTTGTCACCAGATACTGACTCTAACTGAATATTTGAACAAATTAGGGTCTGTCTTAACACAAAAAAGTACAGCCACTAGCCCTCACTAGAGACTGTTAAAAGTCCAGCACTGATATCCTTCTTAGTTGAACGGGACAGAGCTAGGAGCCAAAGGCCAGCTGAGTATAGAGATATGGAAAGATATTGCAGGGAAATGTGAGAGGCACCAGGCAAGCCCTGACAGGCTTGCTCACCTCACCTCCTGCATGGGTCCAGCTCAAGTCAGGGAGACTGCATTCAGAAGAAGGCTCCAGCTTTGCCCAGCCTGAATGATGGACTGGGCCAGGCTACAGCACTGAAGTCATGGGGTGATGGTGGGAGTAGCAAGCAGAGGCCTGCAGGGCAGTGGAACAGCCAAGAGTAGTAAACTCTGCCGATGCATCCAGGAACTAAGAGAAAGGGAGGTACCCCCTGTTGCCCCAGTAAAGACTGGAATGTTTGGTGATCCTGGGGATCAGGATAAGGAGTCAGAGAGAAAAGAACTAAGAAAGTGTTTACACTATGTAAAAATCAAAGAGAATACAAATCCTTGCCTGGCCAAAACTCAAAGTATTTAAATGGGTTGGGGGTGGGGCTGGGGGTGTTGGCCCAATTCCTTTAGCTGACACCCACAAATCTTGAGCCCTCTAAAAGAATGAAGGGTGAAAGAGAGCCTGAGTCAGCAAGGAACAAGAGTTTAGGCTTAATCCCCCATGCTGGCTCCTCAACTGGCATCTATAGCAGTAATTCTTAACTTTTCATGGGTAACACATGCCCTGGAAATCTTGTAATGTTAACTCTATCCCTAGAAAAATGAACATATAGCCAGGCATGGTGACAACTAGGGAGAGGCAGCTGGTTTTGAACTCACGATCCTCCTGCCTCCCAGCAGCCAGAGAGACTGAGGCAGGAGGATTATGAGTTAAAAACCAGCCTCAGCAACTTAACAAAATCCTAAGCAACTCAGTGAGACCCTATGTCTAAATAAAATATAAAAAAGTGGTTAGGGAGTTAGAAATATAGCTCAGTTGGTAAAGTACTTGCCTCACATGCTCAAGGCCCTGGGTTCAATCCCCAGCACCACAAAAAAAAAAAAAAGAGGGTTAGGTATATGGTTTAGTGGTTAAGTGCCCTTGGGTTCAATCCCTGGAACCAAAGATAAAAAGCACATAAACCCCCATAAACAATACTAGGGTTTGGGGGCGGGGTTTGGATTCGAGTTTTTTTGTATGAAATCTTTGAATATGGGTTAAGAACTTTTGTATTGTGGAATTCAGAGGCATAGAAATGGGAAGTCTGAGTACCAAAGTAGGATTGGAGAGAGGAGGTTTCTGATGATAAAATTGAAGAAGGAAAAGGCATTTACCCTCATTCTCTGTGTCTTCCCCATTGGTCAGTTCATACAGGGTAAATACAGAGTTATTTTGGCCACTCCTGGAAACCTGTAGACACAGAAAATGAGGTTAAATAAGAATTAAGAGACTCCTGAGAGAAGGTAAATTCACAGCTCTACTGCTTTCATCCATGAATGGTACTTATTCCCAATCCAGAACTTATGGTCACTTCTGCAGAGTGGCCCAAAACCCACAATCCAACAGGTGCTATATTTATATATGTACACACACATTTAAAACCACTAAACCACAGGCCTTCACGTGCCTGGAGAGTGACCTCTCACTCTGGTTGTTTTCCTGTTTCAGGAATGGGTGGTGTGTGCTTGTTATATTTGGGTTGTTGATGCTTCCTCCCCTCCTTTCTCCCTTGGGAATGTTTGGGGTTGGTGGTGGCTAGGAATTTGGGGAGAGAGTGTATTCTGTCCCTAAACCCACACTCCTTCAGAAAGCCTCATTCATGTGGATAGCTCCATAAGAGTGCAGTGGGGGAAGGGCCCCATGTTCTCCCCCCACCACCACCCTTTCCTTTCCCCATTTATCTCCTGTGGCCAGAGGCTCCAGCCCACAATAGCACTTATAGTTCCCAGTACTGCATTCTCTAAACATGGCCTCATGTACCCTCTGGCCTCCTACAGCCAAAGAAAGGGAGGTTCTATGTAGCCAGAGAAATTGAGTCACTGAGGGTGTTTGCATGGAAGGCCTACACTTCCTCTCTCTGTCCCTTTCCCACTTTGCCAAGTCTGGATCTGGGAATACAAGATATCTGTTTGGGCACAGGTAAAATTTTCTTTTGCCATGGGTCACTTCTTAGTACTTGGCAGCAAGATGGTCTCACCCACTGATAAATGAGTTTCCCCCATTCTTCTGGCCTCCGCCACATGATCAGGAAGCTAGACTTGTTCTTATCCAACCACTCGAGATTCCCTGCAAAAACAGACACTTATGAATGCATCATGCTCTATAAGAGGGACAAGGAAGGCCGAGGTTGTGGCTCAGCGGTAGAACACATGCCTGGCACATGTGAGGCCCTGGGTTTGATCCTCAGCACCATATAAAGATGAATAAATAAAATAATAGTATTGTGCCTAACTACAACTAAAAAATAAATATTAAAAAAAAAAAAAAAAAGAGGGGCTGGGGATGCGGCTCAAGCGGTAGCGCGCTCGCCTGGCATGCGTGCGGCCCGGGTTCGATTCTCAGCACCACATACAAACAAAGAAGTTGTGTCCGCCGATAACTAAAAAATAAATATTAAAATTCTCTCTCTCTCTCTCTTTAAAAAAAAAAAAAAAAAAGAACAAGGAGGACTACTAGGGTGGGATACAGTGGAAGAGACTGCTTTCAGAATAATATTTTACTATCTACAAGGCACCCATTCTCCTTAGCCCATCTCACACATTTCAATTTTGTACACAAATGAGGGGAAAGACTCAGGAACGAGGTTGTCTACCATACAGAATGCTCTGGGCTTGCAGGCAAGGGACAGAAAAGTTATTAAAGGGAAAAGATATATCCTAATCTGCCCTCAGGAAAACCCAAGTAAGAAGAAAAATAAGAAATCTGGGGACTTGAACCCACCTTTCTTCCTTAGTTCCTCTAACACAATCTGAATTGATTCCACAGGAAGTTTCCCTGGTTTAAGGTTAAGGGAAAGGCATACATTTGAATTGGGTTGAATAATAATTCTCAGAGCTAATCCCATGCTAAGAACCACCTTCCTTTCCTCTCCCCACAAACATGCTTGCAATTTCTGAACAAGATATAATTGGATTTGAATACACAACTATAATCTCAGTAATTTAGGAGACTGAGGCAGGAGGATTGTAAGTTTGTGGTCAGCCTCTATAACATAGGAAGAGCCTGTCTCAAAATAAAAAATAAAAAGGACAGGGATATGGCTCAGTGGTTAAGCACGCCAAGGTTCAATCTCTAGAACAACAACAATAACAACAACAAAAAAAAGGCATTTCCTGGATATTCTGACACTTTTTTTTTTCCCCCTCACAGTACTGGGGATTGACCCTCACAAATTAGATATTCTAGGAAGAAAGGTTAAAAAAAAAAATTCCAGTTAGAAAAAAGAGCTTTCGAAAATGAAAGGTACTACTGTTCCTCATCCTGTGTTCTCATCTTTCTTCATCCTCTCTCTATAGATATTTTCAGCAGCAAAAACAAATGATCCTCACTTCAGAGAAGTGGAGGGTGTGGAGAAAATTATTAAAGATAGTATCGAGTTTGAGTCTCACACAGAGAAAACAGAGAAGATTTAAATTGTCAAAATGGGATCTGGTTGAAAAGCTTGGCATTTGGCTTCAAGGCAGAGATTCTAAGATTGGAGCACTAATCGCTGTCAAGGACAGGAGGGTTTGGTACTACACCTGGGAGGTAAAACGAAGGCTCTCGCTGTTTTCCAAGTTCAGTTTGGGTAGAAACCTACCTAATGTGGGGAAAGTGGGAGGGAGGTGAAGTCCGGACTTGTGGAAAAGTGTGGAAGTGCATGTGTGTGGGCTGTAGAAGAGCCTGAGGGAGGATACGCTGTAGCTTGACGTTGTTGAAGAGTGGACTCTCCTGCGCTTCCATCACCGTCATGCTGGACTGTTTGTGCAGGCGGCAGAAAGACAGGACCAGCGAGCACCAAGCAGCCAGTTGCTTCTGCCGAGTGTCCACGTTCGGCTGTAACCTGCCGGGTGGAGGGAGTAGGGTGCAGAATTACAGGACGCTAGAGGCAGCACTTGCCCCTGGGCGCGTCTGGAGGAGAAAAGTGGGGAACTAAGAATGATAGCGGCTGGATCCTTTCTACACCCCCCCACCCAAGTGATGCATCAGGGCTGAGCCCAGGGCCCCGGGGAGGACACGGGAAGGTACAGCGGGGCTTCTCGGGGTCCCAGCCTCACGTAAAGAAGGGCGGGAAGCGGTACTGCCACGGCCACTCGAAACTCATCGCCATCGTAGTAGCCCAGAAAACACGGAACCTCCGCACACAGGACTTCCGGTATCCGCATCTGCACTTCCGGGCATGAGGCACAGCAGAAAGGTTCCGGACACCTTTCTAGGAGACTGACCGCCCCACGGAAGGGCTTTCTGTCATCGGCCAGTCCTCTGCCATTATCCTTAAAAGCTTTATCTTTTAGACCAGAAAGAGCCTTATGAAGTCTTCTGGTTCGATGTCAGAAAAGAGAAGTGAGTTCCCCAACGCAGCATAGTTTGTTAGTAGAACACCAGTAGAATCCAGGTCTCTAGACTCAGTTCCACTGTACTACGCATCTTTTAATATTAACATGCATGTCAGTTACCATTTAATTAAAACTCCCCACGATTTTACAATCTCTTTGATTCCTGTGTCTTTGACTCCACCGTTCCTCAGTCTCCCAGTAGAACTTTGTAAGTTGTATCACTAGAGACAGCTCTGCTTCCAAAGACAGAGCTGCTATCTTTCTCACTTCACCCTAGTCCTCAACCTCCTAGTCTCAAGTTCCAGGAACCCTTCTTACACAGTTGGTCAGTTCCCAAACCAGAATTGTTGCTCTATGCTCCCCACCCCCATCCTCTTTTTTCCCTATTTTATGAGTTTGCGGTCAGGCATGTGAACCCTTTAATCGTTCTCTCTTTGTCACTATATTTGATTCATACAAAGATTCCTCACCACTTTTACTCCTTTTTTTACAAGAGTCACCCTTAGACCTGTCTTCTCACCTCACCTTTCCAACTTCCTTCAGGACTTCTCTTTAATTTTCTGTCTCTCTCTGTCTCTCTTTTCCCTGGTTTCTTTCCTTTATGAAACAAATATGTTTAGGCCATCCCTATTTAAATATATGCATACCCTTGATCCTGTCACCTCAATTTCCTGTCTGATCTTTAACCTTTATTTCACAGCAGTCCATCATTGGGCATAGTTTATGGTCCACAGAGCAATCAACAAATATTTTTTAATTCTTTTTTTTAATATTTATTTTTTAGTTGGACACAATATCTTTATTTATTTATTTTTATGTGGTGCTGCGGATCGAACTCAGGGCCTCACACATGCTAGGCGGGGGTTCTACTGCTGAGCCACAACCCCAACCCTAATCAATCAACAAATATTTGCTGAATGAATGAATTTATCAGCTTCCTCAGAGACCACCATTTTCTTGGCCTCTTTGATGCTTTTTTCTATGACTACCTCTTTGATCTTATTTCTGTCTCCATTTTTCCCTTCATTCTTCAAAGGTGGACATTTCCTTGGAGATTCTTTCTTTCTTTCTTTCTTTCTTTATTTTAGTTGTAGTTGCACATAATACCTTTATTTTATTTATTTACTTGTATGTGGAGCTGAAGATAGAACCCAGGGCCTCACAAGTGCTAGGCCAACACTCCACTGCTGAGCCACAGCCCCAGGCCCTCAACCTTCTTTTCAATATACCTTATCTCTTAGAGCTCTTATCTCTCCTGTGGGTTCTTATTGCCTTTCTGTGCTGAAGACTCTCAAACTTCTATTTCCAGATCTAACCTTTTCCCAATTGAACCCCATTTCTAATTCTATGTGGGACATAACAGCTTGTTCCACTGTTTCCTCATATTGCACATCCTTTTCTTCAGGCCAGTTCCTCCTCCTAATGGTCCTCTTCTATTATTACTGCTATCATTATCCTAATAACTCAAGCTCAATGTTTAAGTTGCCCCTAAGTTCTCTCTCCTTTATCCCCGCCATATCCAAGTCCTACTGGTTTACTCCTTTTTTTTAAACTTTATTTCATTTATTTATTTTAATGTGATGCTGAGGATTGAACACAGTGCCTCACATGTGCTAGGTAAGCACTCTACCACCAAGCCACAACCCCATCCCTGCTCCCCTGAGTTTTTTTTGTTGGGGGAGGGTACCAGGGATTGAACTCATGGGCACTCGACCACTGAGTCACATCCCCAGGCCTATTTTGAATTTTATTTAGAGACAGGGTCTCATTGAGTTACTTAGCATCTCACTTTTGCTGAGGCTGGCTTTGAATTCAGGATCCTTCTGCCTTAGCCTTCTGAGCCACTGGGACTACAGGTGTGTGCCATTGCACCCGGCCATGTCTTCATTTTTCAAGTTTGGATTACTGTCACAATTTCCTAATTTATCTCTCTTTCTACTCTTTCCCCTTCAAGAATGCACTCCATCTAAGGCCTTGTCATATCCCAACTCAGCAAACACCCTTCTGTGACCACACCTGTGATTGTCTCAGCTAAGTGTGATTCTCTCCTTCCTTTGCACTTGAATAAAGTTTGGGTTGTATTGCTTACATGTCTCTCATCACATATTCCATCATTTTTATGTGTACATATGTCAAATTTCCCACTAGATAAGAGCCACTGAGGGCAGAACAGATTCTAACCTACCTTTCCAACAGCCACACCATACACAGTGTCTTATACCAATAGCCCCCAGATGTATATCAATAAAATTTGGTAAAAGCAAATATGTGCCAAGAAGAAGTAGATATATTCTTGGGAAAGACGGTTGTATTCATAGAGATACAGCAAATATTTATTTCAGCTGAAACCTCACAATAGCTTAGGAGGGCTGGATTTGTAGCACAATGGTACAGTGCTTGCCTGGCACATGTGAGGCACTGACTACCATCCTCAGCACCACAGAAAAATAAATAAATAACATAAAGGTATAAAAAAAGAAACATCTTTAAAAATATATATCTAGGGACAAGTGTTTTCTGAAAGAAGTATGTCTCTGGGAATAGGTACATGCCAGGAAACATAGACATATATCTATGGCATAAAGAGGCATGACCCAAGTATTCAGAGAGGCAAATATTTCAACAAGAAGGAAAGTTTCTAAGGTAGCCAAGTGTGCCACAGGAATAAACAGTGTCTCCATGGAGAACAAAGTTGTAGTTGTTTTAGTGACCTGGAAGGTGAGTCCAAGCAAGGGCTGGAGATGAAGATTCCCTAGTGAGAACCCTTATTAACCAGGAAACATAGTTCATGTAAGAAATAGTGAGTTTGGGTTGGGGCTGTAGCTCAGTGGTGGAGTGCTTTCCTCACATGCATGAGGTACTGGGTTCAATCCTCAGCATCACATAAAAATAAAATACAGATATTGTGTCCATCTACAACTAAAAAATATAAAAATAATAATTAAAAAAAATGGTGAGGACTGGGGATGTGGCTCAAGCGGTAGCGCGCTTGCCTGGAATGCGTGCGGCCCAGGTTCGATCCTCAGCACCACATACAAATAAAGATGTTGTGTCCGCCAAAAATTAAAAAATAAATATTAAAAAAAAAAAAAAAGAAATGGTGAGTTAGACAGTTCAGTGTAATCCCAGTAACTTGGGAAGCTGAGGCAAGAGGATGGCAAAATTGAGGTCAGGCTCAGCAACTTAGTGAGACCCTGTCTCAAAAATAAATGAAAAGGATGTAGCTCAGTGGTAAAGCACCTCTGGATTCAATCCCCCAGAACCAAAACAAAAATAGAAATGGTGAGTTGCATATAAGGGCTAGGTAAGTCCCTAGAAAGTATAACAGTATATCAAGGTGAAATATCATATTGATGTCTCAGGAATCGGATAAAAGATCAAGCTAAAAATCAGTGGCTACTACAGAGAGGACAGTTCTCTGACCCCAGGATCCAAATGCTCCTCCGCCTTGAGCTTCTTCCACATCATATACATCTTCTGGTCGTTGGTTTAGTGGACACCAGAGGGCAGTGTGTGGCCAGTCTATAGGCCACACCCTGTCCAGGACACTGTAGGATCTAAGCCAATGACCTGGAGCGGGAATGGTGAGCCTAACTGAGGAAGCCTTTGGCATCAATCTGGAGGTCCTTAGGGATTGATTCCCTTCGCTTGTCAGGTTTCTGCTTCCCAGGTTCTGGGAGTAAACTGAGGCATGAAGAAGGGGAGAAGTAGGGGCTTCCAGGTAGCCTCCCTTTCTTCTTGCTAAAAGATTCTACCCTTGCCCCTCCCCCCACCACATTCCCAATCACAGGCTCCCAGCTGCTGTCCATACCGGAAGGGAGTCTCTTCCTGCTCCTTTCCTGGAGCTGGCTTTGGACAGGGGCAGGAAAGGCTCCTCCCTGGGAGGAAGGACTATAGGGGTATGGCTTTCATGTGAGGGTGGGGGCAGGTGAAGTGAATAGAATAGTGAAGCCATCTAGAGTCTTCCAGCTCCTCTACCCAGAGCTGAGTGCCTGTGGGACTGGCAGTGACTGTGGACACAGGCACCACTTGAATGGGGTAAGGGACATTGTACAAAAAAACAGAAATTTTATTTTGAAGATTACAGAACTTGTGCCATGATGCTGACTCACCTCCATTTCCACCAATCCAAGGATTGGCAGTGGGGGTGAGAGTGAGAAAAGTGGGTAGAGAGGGGAGGAGAGAGAAGTAACATGAAGGTTTTGAAGTTCAGGCTATCCTAGGCCTGGGTCTCACTGTCTTTACTCCTCCATACCACAAGAGTGACAAGGAAGGGGATGAGGCAGATGGGGGCTATGATCATAGCCAAGAGCACATCCTCTGGGGGATCAGAGAAGCTGGGCTGCACCAGGGAGCAGTTGGCAAAGTGAATCAGGTGGGTATCAAAGATGATCTTCTCTGCCCAGGGATTGGGGAAGCCCAGGCCAAACTCCTCCGCCTCATGCTCCAAGCAATCCCGAAGTTCACTATAAGGCCTGCAGGGCAGTAGAGGAATGGAGTAAGGGAGGGGTTGGGTCCAGGGAGAGGAGGTTTACTCCAAACTCACTTAGGGTTCAACCCCTAGCCTGAGCCCCCCTCCAGCACTGCCCCTACCTGCTAATCACGGTCCAGTCACACCAATCCTTTTCAATGGAGTCCATATAGATCTTATAACCTTGCCAGCAAAGTAGGGCATTTGTCTTATAATCTTCCACGGTCTTTCCTGTAGGTACAAAAGCTGCATTATGACCACACCCCCTGGCTCTCCCTTCAAACCCTCTGGCCCAGGTATTTCTAACTGGAGCTCTTGACCTTGTCTTCAAGCATGGGAACCTCTCCAAAAGTTTCCCTAGAAGACACTTTGGCTGAGGGGA